ATAAACAAATTTTTGAATGTCACATTTCAATTAATTTGGGAGATGAAAGTAATAAATCTGTTTACAACATCATTGGACTTTTTTTCTCTATCAATAAGCATCTGATGACTGAGTTCCAGGATAAATGTCTAAATTGAAAGCATAGTAAGTCTTTGATACTACAAGGTTATACATTTTCATGCCATATTTTAACCCATTGCTTTTCCATAAGTCTTTTTATATTCCTGAGATAACCATGAGAAATCCATGCTTAGTACAGCAAACCTATGAACACTTTTAGTTCAGCAAGTGAGGTGTCACAATAAATACATTTTTGAATAAAACTATTGTTGCATACGGAGCATTTTACCTTCAGTTCAGCATTTGTGTATTTTACAGGATTTTATAGCATTTAGGTTTGTTAAATTTCCAATAATTAATCACAGTGTAAGCACTCTGTGAGATACTTCCCCTCCTGCCAAGACCCTCACTAGGTTATCAAACCTAGTTCTAACATTGGATCATTTCATTTGCTTGTGTGGCCACTTCAAACATTTTGACTAGTCAAATATATACTCATATTGCTATTTTGTTTGTCACCTGGGTCAAGGAGGTCCGAATTCTCTTGCTCCATTTCGCTGTCACAGGAAGTTTGTCTCACATGGAAAATCAAATAAATCATCATCACCATCACCCACCCACACCACTCTCTTGTTCTGAAAGCCTGTATTTTATCATAATAGATTATCTTCATCATCCAAGCATGAGCAATCCGATGATTTACTTTGAAAACTTGCAAGTCTGGTTTTTCATATGCCATTGTACTGAATAGAGGTTATCTTTACCAGAAAAATCAAAAGAAAGCATTTTTCAAATCAAATCCTGGCATGGTGTAGGTCTACTGGACCCTCCGTGATACTAAGGGAAGACAGAGTATAAGTTGGATTCAAATTCCATTTTATCACTTTTGTACACACCTCATCATTCATCATACTGAGTGAATAAACACATTCATTGTTCCATACATTCCTCAGGGAAGGGTACTAGACACATATCTTGCTGCCATTACACTAAGGTACAAATTACAGAAGGAAAGTAAGGGAAGGACCTGCAGGACTCAGTCTTCTGTACCTTGGATGAACACGTATATCATGATAAATCTGAAAAAGCATCATAACTCACCCTAATAGTATGGGTATTTTAAATATAGTAAAAGTGGTTGTATGCATGCATAATTTCTGCCTCAGTGCTAATTCTACAGTGCAGTGTGATTTAGTTAAATAGTGATGGAAGCTCAACTGAGTTGGCCACAAAGCTGCTTAGACATACTATCTTCTTAGGGCTCCAATTTATTAAACTTAAAATACAGGCAATCAAATTTTATTTCTAGGTGGGCCTGTGATTAAAGGCTCTTGAAAGAAAACCACAAGCCCTGAAGTAAAACTTTAGTTAATAAGAAGTATATGACTCTCATCTATTCAATGTAAAATAAATGGTAAACTTCAAAGAATAGACAAAACATAAATGAACAATAAATTAAATAGAAAAACAACTAGGACTACAGAAAATAAGAATGTAAAAAACAACACAGAGACACATTTTCTTATTATAAAAATTTCTGTTTAAATAAAAAATTATATATATATGCTAATAATATAAGCAGATAATTAACTGAAAATGTTTATAACATGTAAATTTCAGAAAATGTTCTTAACAGTCTTCATAGTTTGACATTTTAGTTGATTTTGCAACAAACTTAAAAGTACATAATTTTTTCCCATAATTTTATTGATAAACAAATAGCAGTGAGACAGTTTCAAATAAAATTGATAGGATAGTTTCAATAATTCACACATTGTATACATTCCTCCTAGTGGTCAATTGCTGTACAAGATGCGGACATGATATCCTATTTACAAACACCATTAGAACAAATCGCTCTATTCATTAAGAGAATGCAACTATATCTTAACCACATTGAATACACAGATACAAAATGGATATTCGTCTGTATGCCCTTTTTTTGTTAAGTTCTGTTATTTGAATATTATAGGTGTGTAAACTCAGTAAAACATTCTAAAAGAGTCCAGTAGCCCTTAATAGTATTGGGTCTACCGCTTGACTAGCAATGTCAGAAATAGTTGACCTGAGTCCCCTATAGCTCAACATAACAGCACGACTTTACTTTTTATATTTTGTTTTTATACTTTTCTGCTGGATGGTTAAGACCAAGGTAAAGCAGGACCTATGCAACAAGAGTTG